CACTGCTTTTCCCATACACTGTTCTTAATTTATATTATAAGCATATTTACTGAGATGTTTGGTACTCGGAGCATCCTCACATAATAAGCACAGTACAAGCAGGAGGAAAAGGGGACTTTGGCTTAGCGTCAGCATTGGATGGGTAAGCAAAAAATCTCAGTAAAAAACTCAGTAATACAGTACCAGCAGGCATCTTGAAAAATTATCTTTAGAAGAGGCAAAAAAGGTAAAATGAAAATTGAGAAAGGAAATAAAGCAAGTTTTGTGGCAAGTGCAGTTACTTGAGTTCACGATAAGTGGTATGGGAGAAAATGTGAATGCAACCATCTGACATCGTGACAACAGGACAAGGAAGACTTCACTGCTAAAGACTACCACTGCTAAAGCTGAGGGGAAAAAAGATGGGATGTCCTTAGGCCTAGAAAGTCCTTGGCAACAAGCAGTTTTATCTAATTTATGGGAACCACAGGAAAGATGCAAAGAAAGAAATTGCACAGCCAAAGCAACAATCTGTAAAAGTGAGTTGTGCAGCTCTAATTGTGCTGACACAAGTAGGTAAGGCTGCCTTGCTCTCGGCAAAAGAAGTGGATGATGCAGCGTTGAAAGCAAGCATAAAAATCTTACCTGCAAGGGTGAAAAGTTGTAGCTGAATTTAAGAAACAAAAACCAGGCAACATTTAGAGAAGATTCAAGTATGACAAACTGAAGAAAAGACTGTGCTGAAAAGAGTGCCCAGAGAAACACAGTCCTGCGGAACAGAACGCTCACCCACTGAGACAAGAAAAAGTTGAAAGATAAAGTTTCTTTTAGTTATATAGCACATATGCTGATAGACAGGTGTTGTCAAAGGAGCAGTCACTAAGACAAATAAGTATTTTCCTTGTAAATAATAGCAGAGAGGCAGGTTTGTGAGAGCCAAATATAAGTGGGTAGTCTCATTCTACTGCTTGTATACAGTCATGTTTCTAGGCAGAGTGAAAACACACATATGCATGCAGCACAGTGCAGCTTGTTTCTTGAAGTTAGGCAGTGTGGTCTAAGGGCTCCAACCACCCTCTGAACTTTTTTTTAACTTGCAGTAACACAAAGTTACTTCCATTCATATCATCCTTCACGGCCATCTGCTTTTAATAACTGCAATTTGTTAGCATTTCAAAATCTCTATCAGCAACTTCTAAAAAAAGGTAATATTTTTTAACATTTCTTCTTTGCACTGATAAATGTGATATTCAGGATAGTCATCTTTCCATATTAGCCACTACTATTACAAGTGATGGATAATTTTGTTGCTTACACACATCTCAATTTCTGTTAATTTTAAGTACTGTAGCACATCAAGTTCTTTTTTCTGCTTTTCTGTCTCTTGATTCTTCTAAAGAACTTAATTACAGTGGTTTGGTGGTCTAATTTTTTTTCCATGTGGTTATTCTCATTCTTTCCTGTATTTCAACTATCCATTCTTTTCACTGGTCTTACAGGGCTGCCTATTTCAGACCATTCAGGTCTTTTACCACGCTGCTTTTGCCTCTCTTACCCACTGCAAAAGAAGAACCACTGAGGTAGAAACAGAGCTGTCAGACATAGCCTCTACCAACTTCTGAGTCATAGTTAACTAGTCTATATATTATGTCTGAATAATTTAAAGCTGTAACTGTTGAGTTCATAGTTGGAACGTTTGAATGACCAGGGTTTCTACAGCAACATCCCTCTCTTTAAATTGCAGCAATATCAACAATTTTCATTTGAAAAGGGTCTATTATACAGCACAGGCTAATAACATTGAGCTGTTCCAACAGGAGCCCTGAATTGCCACTGTCACCCTCTGGGTAACTGAGACACGCGAGTCCAAAACCATTTTTAGGGAAATAGTTCCCTCTTGTGGCAGAAACTGGTCCCTGCAAGAACGGCGGCTTTGCAAACACACAATTAGGAATCCAAGCAGTTCGTCTCAAGCGTCGCTTTCAGATCATTCTTTACATTATTAGGAAATTGGCACGTTCACAGCGTTATTTTGAAAGATTTTTTTTTTCTTTCCCTAAATCTCATTTATAAGCAGCATTGTTCTTGGCCAGATTATAAATTACTTTTGGCATCTCACAAGGTTTGATACGTATTCCCAGTATTTAGACAATCAGTCTATCCAAGCTTTTACCTATCACCTTTGAAACAAGAACTGACAGTTAGGCAAGAATACTGTACGTGCTACACCAGTGTTAACCATGAATTGCTTATGACAAGCATTTTAAAGAGGTCTTTTTAAATACGCATTATAATGAACATTCAATTTCTTAATTTTTTTTTTTATTCTTTTACTTTCAGGGAACTCTGTTTATTCTTTTGCCTACTGGTTGTTTGTGGGGGGGGAGGGGTGTGCAGGGTGGTGGTTTCAAGTTTGGTTTTGTTTGATTTACTTCCTAAACTTCACTTTTTTATTTTCTTAAGACAGAAAGATGATATCCGTATCTTTTGGGGGGAAAGCAAGAATAATTCTACCCTTCACACATGAGTATGTTCTATAATCTTGTTTTAAAAGTCCTCGGTTTGGGACTGTAATACAAATAAGTTTGAGCAAAAACCTGTGAATTTGTGGACAATCTTGCCAATGGAATTGCGGGGGGAAAAAAGCCCCTGGATTTCATACACAAAACAAAGGGACTCAGATTACCACCTAACCCCATCCACACTTTGCTTACTTCCGGTTGTTACTGGGTTGTCACTGTTCCAGTTCCACCATTAATACAGGGCTAAATAGAATAAAGTGTTACAGCATCAATCTAGTCCAGTATTTAAATAAACATAGAGATCTGCCTAACAGCTTAGGTCTAAAAATCCAAGTAAGGTTTACCGGCCTGAGCCAAGGTTAACCAATATCATCTGCATAATGCTCTGTATGTAACAGCATCTTTGAATGTTATCATGTTCTTCCTGGTTTTGAAAAATAAAATGTTATTCACTGGTATTTGGATGCAAACTTCCTGCAAAAAGAGATAAATATGCAAAAGCTCAGTGCTTTATTAGCACAAAAATTTCTTCTCCTATTTAGCAGTTCTACGTCTCCATTTCTGAGCTGTATCTCTGAATGCAATAACCCAGTGGATATAACAAAAAAAAATTAGAAATCAATATTTTGTAAAAATAAATTTTTGTTCTAATAATTTATGAATTGCTGTACTACCTCATTTGACAAGTTGACAACAATCTAGAAACAAGAAAGGAAGGTGTGCAAAACCTCCTCCTTCCTAAAACTAATTGGCCTCCTGCCCTTTCAGGTAGGATAACATTAATCTGATAAATCTGCACAACCCAATCCTGATAAGAAGAGAATAATCCTGCTGGTAATCCAATCTGACCAGGTTACCCTTGTACAGGCAAGATTTTCTGTAAAAGACATCAAGTAACTCCCTTTCAGTTGAGTTTTTTTAGCAGTTATTGCTTCAGGACCCTGGTACATTGTGAAGTCTGTTGTGCATTAGCCACATATTCACAAAACGTGCTTGGCTACCAATATAATTTTCTCTTGCCATCCTCAGCAGCATTTTTCAAGTCCAGCCACAAAGGAACATTTAGATGATACGTTCAGACAACATGGATGAGATTTATCAAGACAACAGATGGGTTTCACACTCTCTTGAGAAACCCCCAAACTGCAATTTCCTGCCACAGTTTCTGTAAGGGGATTTCACACTAAATCAGATTCCCTCTCAGGATCTGGTTTTATTAAATGATCAATCAGGAACAGAAGAAGACAATTTTAGTCTTCCTTGGCTTCTCAGTTGGAAGAGATGTTATGTTTAGGTGTTAGTCAAAGCAGCATAGAAGGTTGCCTGAAGCACTTCCATGAGTTTCTGACTTCTGGTACTGGCCTGCAAAAATACATCAAAAGAGCACATAACTGGAAATCTAACATCAGTTTGCACCAAGCCATTTCACATCTCCATAAAACTGTAAAAATTCTCTCTTACAAAAAGCAGTTGTGGTCAAATCTGAGTGTCTTGGAGATGTGTTTGGTCTGCATCATAGTAACATAAGAGTTATAATATAAACCTGAGAACGAAAAGCCTTTTTATACATCTGTTCAGCAAATATAGGTAGAAGTAAGAAACTTGTACCTTTTTGCTTTCCATGAAAAGTTGTGTTTGGTTACAAGTACAGACTGAATTCTCCCTTTTTTCAATCAACGTGGTTAATAAAATATTTCAAACTGATAATGACCATAGAGCTTGTTTTAGTGATTCTCATAAGTTAAAGAGAGAATTGTATTGATGCAGTGTTCAATCTCACCATCTTTGTTATTTCTTTCACTGGAGAGAATATGCATAAATACAAATTACACTCAAAATATTTATTCTCATTCACTACAGGAAAGTACTTGTCAGTCTGTTCCTTCTACTACTGTTTCAAAAAGAGGTTTCAGATGTACCCTCCTGCAGTTATCTGATCTGCCTTAGCTTTTCCAGTCCTCTGGACTCTCCAAGAATCCTTTCTCCTCTTTACCTTGTGCTCACTGAAAGCACTCAAACTTCTCACCAGTTTCAAAAGCAACCACTCAGACCTCTCAAATGAGCCTCCTTACAGACAACTTCCTCTCTCCAATTTCTGATCTGTATCTGATCTTACTCATAACAATCAAGTACAGGAAGTAACTACCACAATAACAATAAAACATTGCCGCAGAGTAGCCCATTGCATTTAACCTCAGAAATAGTTGTACTGAATTTTGCTGCAGTTCCCTCTCCCAGTTTTTCTCCCAGGCAAATCAGAAACGTGCGACAAGATGAAAATCTTCACAGAAAGTGTGCAAACCTTTTTACAATGCCATACCCTGAAAAAAAAAATTCTTTTAACAGCTGTAGCTCAGCCTAGATCACATTTTGGAAGCCTGAGACAGCTCCCCCTTTCTTTATTACTGTTAGTTACTTGCAAAGTCACTGTTTTTCACTGTCGTTAGTTACACCACTCACAGAAAAACGTGAACATACGTATATTGGAATAAAACTCACCATGCTGTTCATTTTTGAAGAGGACGAGCTTGCCCTCTGCTTCCGTAGGCTGTTCACCTCCTCTGCATTTCCATCCTTTGGCTTTATGATCAGTCGACTGCCTCCAGCAGTACCTTCTGAAGAGGATCTCAACCTTTTCTCAACAAATCTGCCTTCTCGGCACGGACTGAAGCTATTGGCAAGATCAGCTACAAACAGAGAAGCAATCAGCAATCATTACAGGGACTTATTCTCTACAAATACTTCCGTAATCAGAACACTGCTTTGCTTGAAATGCTTACATTGAAAGGGAATCCCCTAAGAGTTGTTCTGTAGAAAGCAGACTGTGCATACCTAGACAAAAGTGTCACTTGGGCCACCAGTTCACTGTTCAGCCCTCAATGAATTGCACACTCAGCACACTACAGCCCAGTCCATGGTTCCTCATAGAATCCAGAAGGATCTTTGCTCCATCCTTTTCTTTCTCCCCTTGTTATAGGACACTTCCAGACTCTTGTCCAGTAAAAGCCATCAGAGAAACTATCACTGGTTCACTGGTACCAAAACTCAACCTGCCTTACCCTCTGTCCCAAGGTAAGTCCACATTTTGTAGGGTCAGGTCACAAATTTTTTATCCCCACATGGGACAGGGATGCATATTGGTTTCCATTTCTGTTCAGCCTTCCCAGCTCAACTCTGCCCCTGCACTCTCCAAACTGAGCCTGCAGTCAGTGGGCTGAATCCCAGTCCCCAGCTCCAGTTAAACAATAACAAAATAAGAAAAGAGGAAAAAAAATACCTTTTCAAGTGTTAGAGTAAATTTAGAGATGGGGAAAGATAAAAAGCATGATAGTATAATAGATGTCACACAGAAAATCTTATCTACTCTTGCATTTTGCAAGAGAAGAGACATTTTCTCCAAGAGTTCTCAAAAAATCTGTATCACATAAATATATACTAAGATATACTAAGAAATATATGGCACAAAAAACCTGCTCATACATTAATGTCATGTTCACAATGCTATCTATAATGATATCAGCTATGAGACCAGATACAGAAAAGAAAATATCTGTTAACAAAGAAAATGAAGATAAGTATTTTGTATTCACATCTGGGTTTAAAACTGTTAAAAAAAAAAAAAAAAAAAAAAAAAACACAAATGTTCAAACCAGTCTGTTGCAAGAGATACAACTACTTATCTTACTGAATGTCATGTAAGTTTTTCCTTTATTTGCTTCATTTCATATGGCAGGATTTTATATCTTTTTTTTCAGTGGTCCTTTTGTATGCTTGGCCAGTTTCTAATTTGAAACACATTCTTCACCACACACAAAATACTGTATTTTGAACAGCACTATAAAACCATAACAATTAATCATTAACTTTTATATAGTGCAGTATTAGCTCTAGTGTTTCTGTGAACATGAATCCAATTTACAAAAATCCCTCTATCACAATTTCAACTCCAGTTAGCTGCCTTCCAGAAATATAGATTAAATATACAATTCCCAGTGCATGAGTTTGAAATGCACTGTGTATTTCTAAACATCCCTACAAGCTGCTCACTTGCTGTTCTGCAGTACACTCTAGTAAGGCAGAACCAAAAACAGGACCTCATTCACAGATGAGACAAGGTTGCAAGGTAGACAAACAGAGCGCTCAGCACTGGTAATAAACAAAAATGGAAATACTTTTTTCTCCAAAGTGCCTAAGGTTCTAAAGGAAAGAGCTGCCTTCTGGTGAAAGCTAATTTAGTGGATTAATTTGACCTTTATATTGCCATTTATGTACAAGATATCCAACCAAGCCTTGCAGTGACTAATAATTCAAAAAGCAAAATTGTTTTTGATTGCTTATAATCTATATGCCTAGATAAACATCCAAGCAAAAAGACACTTGTGAATTCATATCAATTTACTTACAGTCATTCATCTTCTAATACAAATACTATAAACGCCGTCTTGTTATCTCTTACAAATTTTGTCCCACCAGATACAGCCTCGGGATTATTCAAGAAAGCACCAGTCATTAAATTGGTTTGAGAAAACAAACTGTCAGAGATAAATGTGTTCTGCAGGTGTCCTTTACTCAGGGGCCTTATGCCTCACTTATGAGCACCTCTATAGACTTGGATTTCTAGGCACAGCCTTTCCACTTAATCTTATTAGTATTTCCAAATTCCTTTTCATAAACTAAAGAGACAGTGTGAAATTTAGATGGTAATTAACTCCCTCAGTTTCATAGATTACACAATGAGACTTTGGACACTTATTTCAGATGGAAGCAGAAATACGATCTCTCATACTCTGCCACAAAAATATCCACTCTAAGCTACTCCATTACATAATTGAATAAGGAAAGAAAGACTGGCAATTTCAAAACCTAGTTTAATATAAGGTAAACTGCATTATTTTTCATAACTAGACTACAAGAAGGTTTATTTCTCTGGTGATGTTTCCATTCCAAATTTCAGAATTTGTATGAAGTCCAAAATAGGCATGCCTCAAAAAAAATCCCAGCTTTAGCCTTCAATAAGAGCCAAGAATCAATACTCTCTTAATTCGTTTTCTACTACAGGAAAGCATAGCCACAAAGAGCAGTGACGGGTGTTCGCAAACGGCAAAACACCAATTCAAAAAATCATAGATTTTTGTTTAATTCCTACAATTTTGAGAGGCAGACACAATTCATAACTTTTTAATTCCTAGCTAGCACTTGCGACTGCACAAAAACACTTTATGACCAAGCAATCCTAACAGAAAAACTAAGCCCAAAAAAACCCCCACCAAACTCGAAAATAAGAAGACCGCAAGACATACCTTTAGGATTGTTCGTTTCATAACCCTGCTGTGTTTTAAAGGACTGAGGTTCAGAACATGGAACACTCTTAGACTCTGTTACAGGAATTGTGTCTCTCATGTGCTTGGAAGGAGTTCTCTCATCTCTGTCCCCACTCAACACCCGTGCCTTTGGAGAGAGTATCACTGGTTCTTCGCTACGTTGTAACGCCAAGGTTTCTAAATGTGCGCTGTCCCCGTTAATTTTTTCTATGTGCCTGGCATCATGAATATGCAGTCCATTGGCTTGCAGCAGTACTTTTGCTTGATTAGCAGCTGAGGTTTTAAATAAGGTATTAGATCCACCACTACATGAGCTCGTGTGACTTGCAGGAGATACACCAGCAGAATGGACAGTACTTTCCACAAGATCCGTTTCCCTCGCAGAAGCAGCATCAGGATTAAAGAAGATGTGCGAGGTAGAGACATCATGGCCAAAATCCTCTGCAAGCAGCGCACCAGGCCCACTGCTGGGCAGAGCATCAACCTCTGAAACAGAATCCTCTGTCAGGGCGATAAAGTCAGAGGGGGTCTGGGCAGCTGTGAGGTCAGCTGAGAGCAGCGGGGACTGCGAGGAGCTTCCCATGCACTCTGTTGTCTCAGCTGAGCATGGAGGAGAGGACTTGGCAATCACAGGTTCACTTTCCACATAGGATTTAACTTCCAGCAAGCACCTGGACTGCTGCACAGAGGAAACTGACTGACTCTCTGGAACTGGTTTGGAAAATTTGTAGTGTGATGAAAAAGATTTAGTGAGAAGTTTTCGCGTGGACTGTTTGACAGAATATCGGCTCTGCTCCTCTGCAAAGCCGGAATCATCACCCTCATTCTTCCCAGAGCTTATGCAATTTATGAAGACGTTTTTATTAGCTGAGGGCTCCTTTCCCTTTTCAAAGTCATCTGTCAAAGACCTTGTTATCTTTTTGCTACGTGAGCTGCCAAAGCCAACTGAATGTCTTCCTCTGCTTTTTATGTGCTCCTCTAAGCTGAGTTTTTGAAAAGTGTTGAGAGAGGACTGGGTACCATTTGAGATGTTAACATTTTGATTAGCTGACTCATGCTTCTGCTCACTCCCTTTCTTGTTATGGAAGCTAATGGAAGGAGTACGGAAAATACTCCGGCGCTTTCCTGTGCTCCCTGAGCTGGAGTTCGTGCTGGATGGGGAGGAGGTGTGGACACCAATGGCATTAGCAGAAGAAGGTGAGGAAGGAAGGGAGTCGTGTCTCCGGCTAACACTTCTCCTGAATATTGGCAACCGAGATACGAGAGTCGATCGTCTGGATCCTGAGTCCCCCATCAGGGCACAAAGTATCCGTGGTTCCTCACAGCCAATAAATTAACCTGGGATTAAAGGAAAGAAAAAAAAGGGAGAAAAAAAAAAAAAAAAAAGAAGATAAATTATTCAGCCCCAAAGACCTCTTGAATAGACTCTTAAGTCAGCCTAAATAAATGAGATGTCAACATCAATTTTATGTACAGCTGCAAGTTACTGCATATGCATTACTGAAGACTTCTGGAATTTCAAAGTGATGTTCAATAAGCAGCACTGAAAGCCCAGCAACCAAGGGAAGATGTGGCTCAAAACATTCCACAGATGAAAGATACAGTTTTATATATGGTATTGTACAACACAGATCACAGTGGGTAATAGCATAAAATCTAAACGCCAAAAGATACACAAGTATATCAACCCAAAATGTCCCTTGTTTTTATAAGTTCTTAGAACAAGTCACCTTCTAAACTTTAACCTCTCTTAGAAAATATTTGATTTTTCATCATCTGAGTAAAACATTTTTTGGGTTTCTATATACTCGGATTTCTGCACAAAAGAAGAGGATTTAAATTTTCCAATTTTCACTGAACTTTCAGTTGGATTTTTAATTGCCTCATGTGCTCCTGTTAAAGGTTGTATTTATCACTTTGCAGCAGAGAAAATGACAGCATTGCAGTCCAGTCAAAATATATACCACCAAAAATTCTTCCTAAGAAACTGTAAGTTCTGGGAATTTATTGTTAAAATATGGGATCATGTTTCTAGATTTGAACTTTGATGTTTCCTTTGAACACTTCTCTAAAATCCTCCCACAGCCTGTTTGCTTATAATTGGCTAATTTTTCAGGGTTTTTTTGAAATAAGTGAAAACTGTTTCATACACAGGCACTTGGAATTTTTTATAAATATTTAAGCAATAAAAACTTATTTGATCAGCACCATAGATGTACTGGAAGAACATTAATCATTATGAAATATACACCAGTTCTATCTCCTCTTTGTTCTCATCACAATAAACCACCACTGTGAAAGACAGCACCACAGAGGGAACAATAAAAGCATGTAATATATAATCAAAAGAACAAGAGAGGCTGTAGGTATAATGGCCAAGCGTAACCTCATGAGCTGCTGGTATTCAGCACACAGAAATAAAATCCAAGTCATTTACCTAAACCATGTTCATCTGTCAAGTGCAAAAAGAAAGTAATTCATCTGATGAGAAATTTGCATTATGTGGTTACAACAGCTATCTTAACTATATAGATATAAATTTATGTAGTGTATATATATATACACATATATATATAAAATGGGAACAGAATATTTAAGTAGTAGTACAACTACATATTTAACTGTGAAAGACAGGGTAAAGACTAAGTTCAGAGACTGTTTCTGACTAAATATCAGACTGTGCATAGTGTTGTTAACATTTTTTTTAAATGCTAGCATGGCTCCAGCCTGAATATATAGTGCCAAGCAGCCCCACTTTTCACAAGCACCAGAAATCAATAAGCAATTTTGTACTTTAAGATGAGAGAAACATCTTGGGAATAGTCACTAATTGCTAGAAGTCATTGGTGATCTCTGATGACAAACTAAAACCCAACCTAGACAATACCCAGGTTCTGCAATTGAAACTCCAATTTGAATTCAGTCTGACAGGGGCAAAACTGACAATACAGAACCCCACACAGTTATCAGAACAACTTTACATCCACCAAATGAACGGATGCACAGAAATTGTTCCATTTCACTGACAAGTAAGAATGTTTGAATTTATAGTACTGTGTAAGAGCAACTGCAGAGGTAACAGCATAGTAAACCAGGGCCCTGTGAACTCACATGGGGGCTGGTGTTATACCAGCTTGTTCACATGTCCACAATTCTGCCTACTGAAAATGGAGTCTTTGAAAGCCACGTGCAACCCTCTCCACCGTCCTCCTACGAACTCCTCTTAGTTCTTTAACCACTTTAGGACCTAATTGTTTGGGAGTTTCTTTGCTTTTGTGGACATCTACTTGCAGGCATACTGATATGTATGGATAAGCACACCTACACAAGAGATTATGAGGGTTCTCCCTTCTACTGTAAGCAGAGATGATAATTGTTGAGGAAAAAAAAAAAAAGACTTCAGAATGCAGTTTTACAACAGTAGCAGATGAGCACAATATTTTTAAAATACGTTAGATCACTACAGACATTTTATGGCCAGGAAAAACATTTGCTGCCATCATTCTCTCTCCTGTCCACACCTTAATTGTCACGAATGAAACACAATCTTCCATCAATTTTTTTACTTATCACAGAAGAGTTAAAAACATGTATGTCTTATATGAGCAAAATAGGAAGTGTTTCCTTTCAGTCTCCACATTTAACATAATTATTTGTGCTTACAACTTCATAGCAGTAACCCTTACAGAGTGAACTTCACTCCATCTACATCTTCTCTACAAGGCCACTAATTTTCTCTATCTAACATCCCTGTCCCTACTGCATTATTCTTAAAATCTGCAATAGAGGAAAAAGAAAACAGCAGAGAAAGTCACCTCTGTAATGGTATTATGTCATTCCAGACACCTCTTTCAGATTTAAATTGGATAACAATTCTGATCCTACACAGTCAATCAAGGAACTAATACAAAGCTCTGTGTAACTTAAAATAAATTACTGTGCCTTTAGAACACTAACAAAAAGTCAACTAAACACGAAGGATAAAGGAGAGTCTAGGACAGTCTAGGAAGGTTTTTGTCCTATGAAGGGCCAGGAGTTACCCTGAATCTGATGGGTCCCTTCCAGTTTAGTCTATTCTATGATTCTAAGACCGTCAATTAGATCAGGCTCCTTGTTTAGGACAAAATATATTTTGCATTGTTATCACATAATGAGAACACTCAAGAAAACAGTCACAGTATTCTGTATGGAGGTTTGAATCTTGGTCAATACAGAATCATTACTTTGTAATGCTTTCTAATTCTAAAATCCATCTATTGCCTGAAACTGTTTAGTCAGTGCTGCAGAAGGCAAATTTTTAATTTTATGGAATGGATTTTTGATGCACATTTTTGCAGCTGCTATTACACAAGACAGAGTTCAATATAATGAAGGAAAATGAGTAAACTACTTTTAAAAGAACTGTAGCCAGAGTAATAGTGGGTTATTTGAGAATCTGCTCTTCCTCAAGAGTTTGGCTACAGCTCAGTTGCTGAGCTCCTGTGCTCAAAAACAATGTAAATGACAAAGAAAACAAAACATTTTCCCTCTTACTAGCAATTTTAAAAGTTAATCAAATGGAAATAGTTTTCTTTCATGTTGGTCTTCCCAAAAATGCTGGAAAAAGCAAATTAATCTCAAAAATACCTTCAAGACACGTATTTAATTGCCAGAGAAAACCAGGAGGTAAAGTTTTTTTATGATTGGGGTTTATTCTTTCCCCACAGAAGATCATTGGAGGAACCATCCAGCTATACAATATTAGGTCTTTACCTAGCTTATAGCAGTTGTATGATTATAAAAACCATAAATGTACAGGGTAAAAATTATACAAGCAGCCCTGTATTGTATATATTACAGTATCTTGTCAAAAGAAACAAACTGCTCAACTTTCAGACAGTGAATATAACTGCAGAGAAAATCCACAAGCGTTAAAATAAGTAAAATTATCAAAACATTACACCAGTTTCTCCAGATAAATTTACTCCACCAATCCACCAGCTAAAAAATAAAACCTAGTGCTTTTTATTTCAGCTTCTGCCAAGCAGGTACTCTCACAAGTGTGCCAGAGTGCAGTGCATTCAATAAATATCTACTCCTCGTGCTGATGTTTTTGAACCCCAGTAGGTGGAGCAATGGATCTACTTTTTCAGTGACTGCGAGTATGAAAAAGCAACAGTCAGTGCCTTTTACATTTCTCACTGCCTTTGAGGCAAAATTTAGGAACTGAAACTATTTGTGAATTTTACCATTATCATAATTACATGTACATAGCAAAAGATAATATATGCTTATTCAACACTGCAATGTGTAGGTGAGTGCAAACACTCCCTTTATAAATAAACCAACTTGCTACTATTTTTCAACACTTTAAACAAAGCTTTTCTAAAGATGTTCCCCTTTGAGATGAACCTCCTAGAAATATCAACAGTATCTTCCACACAAAGAACAAAATTGAATTAGCTATCAAAGCTTAAATCAAGAGATGACATGTCATAGCTGAAAGGCCACAACCTTAAATCAGAGCAGAATATCAATATGCATCTGCTCCCTACCTCTGCTCTCCACAGTTGTTATGATTTTTAGACAGCATAGTTTAAGGATGATGATACATTTTCTTTATTGCTTTGAATCAGGAACTGTATAATAAATCAACAAACACGAGACTAACACATAACTCTGAATATACTTCATTCCTCATGTGAGCACTACCATACAGCAAGAGGCAAGGACCATGTCACACAAATAGTCTCTGTAGACTAGCTGGCTCCAGTCTTACACAGAAATTAAATTTACCCCAGGATGCAACAAATACACACAAAACCACTTGAAAATAAGTATTTTTAATTGGTGAGTCAACAGAACTCCTAATGCAGCTGATGCACTCACAAAGAGCAGTCCTTTAGCCCAACAGGGAACATCATGGCCTGTGGCTCCCACCCGAATCATTAAGCATTTCTGCCTTGAATACATTTCTGATTTTATCTGAATATTATTTGTCTCTCTAATATGTTTGTGACTTCGTTTTATCTGCACAGCTCCCAGAGGACACTACATGTGCACAATCCTGTACATGAGGAGAACATAAAAGAGTCTAAAAAAACCATTAAAATATCAGTTTACATTTAAAACAAAAGCAAACAAATAAGCACCTGCATATAAATACGCAGGGGTTTAGCTGTCACCAAGGGCAATGTAACTGAATTAATAGGACCTTATTGAAAATATTAGCAAAGCCAAATGCCTGAACAATAGAAGGTACTAACTAAGAAAAGTGGGATTGTGACAGTGAAGCAATTTGGTTTTGCAAATCAAACAAGTAAAACTCCTCCTAGTACATAACAGTTCCATTTACTTTT